CCCCCCCCCCCCCCCCCCCCCCCCCCCCCCCCCCTCTTTCTCAGTTAGTCGACTCTAAACTACGGCGTCAGCTGAAGGGGTAGAGTTCCGAGAGGGAAGAGGCAACAGGAGGTATCGAACAGAAGTTTCTACGGCAAAACAGCTGATACCTGAGCTCCTGGAAGACAAAAGGCCCCTCCCCTCCCCGCTCCTCGGATCCACCAATGCACGTGCACGCAAATTTTTAATGTCTCCGTGGAAGTTTTGGCGAGAAAAATCATTATTTCGGGAGCCAGAAAAGTTAGGAGGCTGAAAATTTCGGATAAATGTTTCCTGCCTAAGCAGGAGTTTCGCAAACTTGAATTCAGTTCTTAATTATGCTAAGGTCTCACGTACGACCATGTGAAAGTTTTGTCTCAAAGACCGTTCGAAAGCCAGAAAACCAGATCGAAGTTTTGGAAGGATATTCACCCTTCTAGGTTTCAAATTTAGCTTTCACGTGATGTTGGGTGAAATTTTTAACTATTTTTCAACATTTCAACTATTTTTGCACAAATTGGAAAGCAATGAAAATTATTAACGGGCAATTGTTCGGTGAAGGAAACTGCACAAAATGCATGGTCGCACTGGCTATTCTGGTGCACGCTGCTATTTTTCCTTTTTAACACATGTCTTTCAAAAATCAAAAAATCATGATATTTCGGCCGTCAGTCTCATAGCAGTCTTGCGGCGGCAAGGCTACTTGCCTTGCAAAGCCGCAAATGTAATCGAAGCTGCAACACCTGGTCGACACCCGATGTACTTGAATCTGGTTTTGTTTTTCGCATTTCGTTCTCATTTTGTCCGAAAAGAAATATTGAGTGTGTCATATTTCATCTGTCCTTTAACTTATTTGCGGGCAATCTTTCCACACATCCGCGCATAAATCATCGCCAGTACAAAAAGCTCTGAGAGTTTGCAGTGAAGATACAACAAATGGCACCACATGCTTTTTTAAAAACTATAACAGACTTGTCTGCCAGATTGGAGAGGAGCGATACTTCTCGATATCCTGTAGAAGCTTTGAAACATCGTCCAGGCAATAATCACGTTTCAAACTGTCTTGTACATCCTCCCAACATGAAAATCAATTAAATATTTTCCAAGTTTTTAAATTTTTTAAAGGAGGATTAGCCATTTAAACTGCAAATTTAAATTCAGGAAATGGCTGTGCAGTGAAGTGCAATTTACTTGAAATGAGCAAGAGTTGTGGTACCGCACGGACTGGATGACCGTAGCCACGGATGGAAGCTGCGCTAACGCGCACTGAATACCGCAGACCACGTTTGAGGCCTGATATAACTGCATAGTTCTTAGATATGGTATTTACAAGTGAGCTTCCTTCAATGCTGCTGAAATCGTCGCACAAACTCCACTCAACTGCAAATTTTTTACAAATGCAGTAGTAAAAAAACCGTCTTGCGGCATGTCCAGACAAATAAGACTTGGTGGATGCAACGGAAAGCCAGGATCGTGCTTTAAACTTGACACATTCTCCTCAAATCTGTATTAGTAGCATCCGGCTGAAATGTTGCTAAACACTAATGAACCACATTGTGTGTCGTGGGGCTTTGATAATATTGTGAAGTAATACTGCCTGATGTGTTCGGCTATTGGTCAGTGCAATGCGTTTGTCGAAGGCGAAATTTTTGCTTGGAAGCGCAGAAATTTGTCATCTCATGGAGTAATATTCAATTTGAAATAACCTCCAGTCTTTCAAATAATGCTTAAAAGTAAAACCTTTATAATTGACAACAGAATCCATATTATGCTGTCGGACATCTTTCCACCAAATAGTAAGCTGATCAGACCCTGAAACAACTGCTTCAACATCTGTCAGTGGTCCAGGAACGATCGTATGTTCCACAACTGCTTTCATTTTTTTCAATTGCGTCAATCTTTTTTCCAGATACTGTAACTGTTTCCAGTTATCCTGAAATGTAATCTTTTTTAATTGGCTTGAAAATGTTTGGAAAAAAGCCTGTTGGAGCCAATCAACTCTACCGTGCCTATTTACTACTCGGTCCTCAAATATTTTAATTTTAAACGTAAAGTGGTGGTGTCCACATCAAAATGTTAAATAGCGAAAAAAAAATTTCTGCTTCATATATTATAAAAACAGCTTACTTTATTTTGAATAGCGTTGTTTTTTAGGCACTGAATTTCGTACGAGACAAGCTCGCTACGTTCCTGAAGCAGCTTCAAACGACACGAGAACGAGCAAGCTAAAAAATAACGTGTCATGAAGCCTGACGGGTCCAGCTCCTTTATTTTAGGCCACCTCTTTGATCGGCGCAAAAATTCAAACTTATTTCTTGAAAAAGTGAGATAAATAGTGAAGGCTAAGAAAACTTGGCAGTTATGCTTTGTCTGTTGCCGTCCACGGCATCTCTTGGAATTGTTAAAACTTTCAAATGAAGAAAAATAATCCCCCAGCACACCAACTGCCGGTGCGAAGATGCGTTTTTATGTGTTTTTGCCGTACAGCGCTAGAGCGCTGCAATAGGCAGCAAAAACGTATATTGCAATAACCCTGTCAGTGTGTGTGTGTGTGTATGTGTGTGTGTGTGTTCGTCTGTCCGGGTATTTCAACTCCCCAACTATACAAGCTTTGAAGCTGAAATTTTGCCAGTGTGTTCCCCAGCCAGGTGCCACCCCAGGACCGCGGTTCCAACTCAAGCACGTCTGGGCTTGCGTACGAGCACGTGAAAGTTTTGACGCGAAAGCTGCTAACTCGAGAATAAGAAAAGCTAGAAAGTTGAAACTTTGAGGAAATGTTCCATATTCATGCACGACCAAAAATTTTCAAATTCAGCCCCACAGGACCGTCAGGGGCTCATT